CAAGGACCTCTGGATCGGAAAGCCTCGGGTCTGCACGCCAGAAGTGGGGAAACTACGGAAATCCGGCCTTTGGTCGTCCTGAAGAAGTTGCCGACCCTCGTCGTAGATTTACAGAGGCCACGGCTCACGGGGATCGCGCCTTCTGTTTTACAAAGCGCCTACTCCGTCAACCACGGGACAAGAACCGGATTCTGATAGTAAAAAGGAATTGCAGTTTAGACTGCCGCGGCGAGATTAAGGCCAGGTATAGACTTGAAGAGGGTCGCCAGAAGTCAGAATTGACTTGAGAGCACATTACAGTATTAGGACAGGCACTCGATTTCAAACAGCAGAAAGGAACTTTACCGTCTGCTTGTCAATACTGACGCCTGTTCCGAAAGAAAGATCCTCAAGTTGTCAATGGACGTACCAAATATGAGACAACGCCGAGCGGAGACCTGCGATTCCCCCAGAAACTATTCTCATGAATTTGACCCCTTGCAGTGACAGATTCCGGATGAAAACCGGTCCGCTTTCAATCGGGTGGAAGCTCCTTTGAACAAAATAGCATTTATATCTGAGTAAACACACACACAAGCTTCTGATCTGGTGTGATGCTCCAGTCCTGCAATCCACCCGAGTTCCCCCAATCCGCCTCATTAAAATCTACAGAGATTCGCAGCGGTCCAGTAATCCTATAAACCGAAGGCTTGGCTTTCAAGCGATTTTAGCCTCATTAAAGACAGTACAGTATGGTGTTGAAATCATTCCCTTGCGCGGGTTTTAGATATTCGAGCTTGTAACGCGCCTGTTCATGCTTACTCAGAAGAAAGCTCCACTGATGTCAATGGGACTTTTCTCCTAGAGATGTGCACATAGGATTTGCAGCTTTAGTCGCCTTCTAAAATGTTCCAGGATAGGCGCGGAGTTAAGTGGCCACTTCGAATTAAGGCGATCTATAGTGCGTTGGGGTAAACCCAAACACACACTTATTTGGACCAAAAGGCGATTTGCAAAAAGAGCACATTTTTTTCTCCTAATAAACTTGAACACACGAGGGAAACTTCCCTGAAACCGGAGGAACCCCTTCCAAGTGAAGCCATGCACAACAACAGACCTCCCATAGGGTTGGGAAACCGGCCTCATACGCTTTCCGCCCAAATTCGCTTTTTGTCTCGTGTAAATCCGACGGGCCGCTTCAGAAGTGCAATCGCGTGTTTCGTCGTCGTCGGACTCCAGGTCCGACCGGATGGTATCTATTTTATTAGCCCCACATGTTGGTGGAGGCAGCCATGAATAGTACGTTCTGGATTTTCTACCAGCACTAGAAAAACTATGTTTGAACTGTCTTCTGGCCGCAAATGGTGCCAAAACTGAATACACCCGGCCCCATGAAATACTTTCACTTCAAATGCAAAATCTGCCATCTGTATGATGCATGAGTGTCCGTGTGTGAGAGAGAAAGAGCTGGATTCACAGTTATATGGAGTCTGTTGGAGCTATTAACCAAGGCTTTTTCCTATAGCCTTCAACCCACATACCTCAACTGGTTTCCATTTAAAGGGGGAGGGGGGCGC